AAAGTATATTTTAAAAATGAAATGGAGATATTTTTTAAATGTTAAAAACTCATTCAATTTTATGTCTTACAGGGTTTTTACTGAGTTCAATATTCTATAACTATTATTTTAACTGTGAACCTAAAAATTTACAGCCACTTTTGAAAGAGATGTATCCTTGCTCTGGAATGTGTTACTGAAGATGTTAAAGCTGTAATGAAATGCTTCTTCTAATCATGTGGTTATTAAATTATTTGTGCTATTTTTAAACAGCAGCTTCCTATTATAAACATATCTGCTCACTGACTCAGATGATGGCCCTCTCTTGCTCAGGACCTGGAAGCCAGATGAAACCACCCACCGAGGAACAATTATAAATCAGAGTGACAGACAAAACAGAGCTGGGAAAGGCCAGTCTGCTTGTGATGGCCCCAGCTTCATTCAAGAGACTTTATATTACTGGCTGATTCTCTACTGACAAGTTGAGTTCTGAATGCTGTATTTGTGTGACACTGCTACACAAACCTGGGAAATCGTAAGACAGGAAGGAGCATGACCTATTTATTGTTTGTATGAACCTATAACCTGATAACCCTTACCTAAAAGTCCAGGAGATATCAAATTCTAGTCTTTCTTGATTTCCTGGGGGTGTGGCATCTGAGAGGAGGCTGGAAAGTCAAGTAGGCTTCAACACATAGAAATGTGAAGAGGGGCTAGAGACATGGCTCAGCAGTTAGAGGTACTTGCTGCTCTTGCAGAGAAACAGAGCTCATTCAGCTCTCACCTCATAGGTGGCTCATAACCACCAATAACTCCAGCTCTAGGGGATTTGATACCCTTTTCTGGCCTCTGTGGGAACGTGCATGCACACGGTGCAGATCCATATACTCAAGCCCACACACATATACATAAAATTACATTTTTTAAAATTTTATTTATTTTTTTAAAAAATATTTTACTTATTATTTTTATGTGTATGAGTGTTATGCCTGCATGTAGGTAAAGCGCACCCGTGTCGTGCAATGCCCGTGGAGGACAGAAGAGGCTGTCGGATCCTCTGGAACTGGAGCTATGGACAGTTGTTAGCTGCCATGTGGGTGCTGGGATTCAAACCCGGGTCTTCTGCAAGAACAATCAGTGTTCAGTGTTCTTAACCACTGAGGCCTCTCTCCGGTCCCCGATATATATGGTTTTTTGTTGTTGTTGTTGTTTGGATTCTTTTTTTTTTTTTATTTTTTTTTTTTTTTTGGGTCAAGGCCTCCCTATAGCCCCAGCTGGCTTGGAATTCACTATGTAGATCAGGCTGGACTTGAACTCAGAGACATCTGCCTGTCTCTGCCTCCCGAGTGCTGGGATTAAAGGCATGTGCCACTACACCCGGCTTTTTTAATCTTTTTTGAGATAGGGTGTCCCAGTAGCTCCAGCTGACCTGGAACTCACTATGTAGACCAGGCTGGTCTTGATCTCACAGAGATCTACCTGCCTCTGCCTCATGAGTGTTGGGATTAAAGGTGTGTGCCACCACACCTGGCTAAAATGGTTTTTTTAATCTAAAGAAAATGTGAAGAGACCATTTTAGATGACCGAGGAGGACGTTAGATCAGTATCTTTTGAAAAGTCATCTTTTGTTTTTGATTAAGCCTGACTGTAAAAAACAAAAACAAAAACAAACAAAATTCTAATACCATGACTGCTATTCTGAAGGTCTTGGGGAGCTACATAGAGGAGAGGCAGGAGAAAAGTGATAGATAAACAGAAGGGTGTTTCAGGGACCTCGAGGACAAGCCAAACTGTGCTCTAAGAGGTGGCTGCAACATGGTATATGGTGCAGTGCTAAGGAATAAACTAGAGTCCCAAGGAAGACTCAGGGGCCACCTAGGATATGATGACAAGAGGCAGGGCCTGAATTAGGGTTACTGATCCTATTTAGGAAACAACTACTGTGAGATACATTTCTAAATGAGAGATGCAGGTGGGGATGGGAGGGTTAAGGATTGAAAACAGGGTTAAAATAGTTCTCAAGTGTCTAGCCTAAGTGGCCAGACAGCTGGTGAAGCCATGAGTTAGGAGCCATCATTAGATCATCAGAAAAAAAGGTGTGGGCTAGTATGACATAACACTGTCACCTAGATTCTGATGGACATTAGATGTTGAGTCATGTCTGACACAAAGACTCAAGAGACAGAAGAGTGCTATAAGGTAAATTTTGGAGTTACCTGTAAATGTGGGAAAAGTATTATTGAAAATGAACCAAATGTTTTCAAGTCAATAACTATGTGCTTATTTTTAAGTTAAGAAACAAAAAAGGAATTTTTTTCCTTTACACTTTTACCAAAGTGACCAAAATAACAGAGAATGTTAAAAAGAACATGTTACTAGATAGTCTTAAGACTTACAGTTAAAATGAAAACTCTTTTGACCCAGTTGTAAAAACATTTCCCTTAGGGATTTTTGCTCCTCTAATTATTTGTTTTCATGGCTGTCTTTTAAAAAGAAAAAGAATAGGACAGTAATGTTCTTGAAGTAGTTTACAAGTGTCTGGCAAATGATCTACCCTATAAACACACACACACTTAATATTTGTCCATAACATTTGGCAAACATTTGAAAGTAGTGCTCAGCCCTCCCGCAAAGAATTAAATGTGCAGATCCAAGCAGGTGTTTATTATTATCTTGTCCCAACATAGTAACAGATGAGGGTTGTCTGCCACTTAAAACACTGACTCTCTAGCTCCACCCCTAGCCCAGTGCGAAGGACAGGAGGAGGGCCTAGCTGGGGGGCATACTCAGTGGGTGAGGGAAATGTGCAGTAACAGGAGCGGAAATGAAGCTTAGTGCTCCAAGTGGAGGAGCTCCCTGAGCCTGCAGGTAACAGTTCTCAGAACCACCTGGCTATAGACCTGAGAGATGCTGATCAGAGTTCTCCCAAACAGCTTGGTCTAATCCCATCTCTGAGTTTTCATGCAGCTCTCCAACTCACTCCCAGCTATAAACAAATAACCAAGTACCATGGCAAAAAAGAAAAAAAATTATCTTTTTCAGGGCCTCACCAAGCAGCCATAAAGTC